GGTACCCAAAAGGTTTTGAAACGACAAATAGGTACCTCCGTCATATTCTGTTACTGATTTCTGTTTATTAATAGTGAAAAACTAAAATGCCCTTCAAAGTTCAATTTAGTTTTTATAAATTTAAAAATTTCTAAAAAACCCCCTAAGTTTTCTAATTTAATTAAACACCCCCATATGTAAAAAGTTTGTAAATAACAAAAACACCCCCAGTGCCAGATTCCGGCCACCATCGCCGGAATCTGGCTGAAAAACTACATTACGACACAGACCCGGGTCTGGTCGTAACGTGCCGATCTGACCTTTTCGGTAGATCCACCACGGATCTGGCTGGAAAAGGCAAGATCTGGCCGTCGAAGCAACAGCCAGATCTGGCCTTTTTCGGCCAGATGTGGCTGATCTGGCGGAAAGGGCCAGATCTACTGCTAGATCTGGCCGTCGACGCCGCAGATGGAGTTTTGCGGCGTCGACGGCCAGATCTAGCCGTAGATCTGGCCTTTTCCGCCCGATCAGCCACGGATCTGGCCGGAAAAGGCCAGATCGACGCGTCACGCACAGATCCGACGGGTCTGTGTCGTAACGCAACTTTCCGGCCAGATTCCGGCGGTGGTGGCCGGAAGGCACTGCAGGTGGCGGGGTGGGTGTTTTGTTATTTACAAAATTTATACATTGGGGTATTAGTTAAATTTGTAAATAGGGGTTTTTAGAAATTTATAAAAAACTAAGATTCAAACTTTTAAGGGCATTTTAGGCTTTTTACCATTAATAAACAGTAATAAACAGAAACCACTAACAGAACATGACGGAAGGTACCATTTGTTTTCAAAACTTTTGGGTACCAACTTATCGTTCCGACAAACCTGGGTACGTGTAAGTCGTCTCCCTTTTATATTATAACACCTAATTCATTGAAATGGTTGCCAAATATCTCTAATCTAATAAATAAGTGTCATAAAATCTATTGCTAAACCAAATCAATATCTAAACCATTTTGTTTAAACTCACACTCAACTATTGTGTCAAAGTCAATATTAGATAAAGCTTTGCTTTCTAATCACCAAATACAAAAATAACATTTTCACCCCCAATCTAACAAGAAGGACTATTCTCCCCTTAGTTTAGGAAAAATCCTATACATAATCCAAAAGCATCAAGAATCACAAAACCAAAAATTGAATTATCAGACATTTAAATCTAGGGGTTTGGAAAAACCTTTTAGGATTAGTTTATTATATTTAATTATTTTCCATAAAAAAATTATTAATTAATTTTTAAAATATATATTCCTTGATAAATCTTGAATTTTATGGTGGTCTCATAGCTGATCAAACAGAAAATGAAATAGACGGAGACTAAATTCGGGGGTAACAATGAGTATTTCCGAAATCAAAGGGGACAATGTGATTTTCAATAGAATGGGGATCAAAATGTTATTCAACCTAAATTAAAATATTCTCGATAGGAGGCATAGCCGCATAGGTGAGTGTGCCCCAATATTCCTGTAAAATTCCCAAAAAATAAAAACATCAACATCAATGAAAAAGGCGAGCCATCTAACGTTAACAAAAACTAAAAAAGAATTGAATTTAGAAGAGTAAGACAAGGCGCTGATTTGGCTCGTGCCAATTCGAGAGATCCATGGTCCTTAGACCTTATTCCTTCACCTTTCTTCCTACAACTAATATTCTACTGTCAATTTAACTGCTTTTTCTTACTAACTTGTTGCTTTCTTTCACTTTTTCTACCTTTCAAAAGTTGCTTCTGGCTGGGTTTAAAATAATACTTTCATAATATATTCCTCATATAATTTTATTAAATATTTAACTTTTAAATTCTTTTTAATGTTGTAATTAAGGGTATTTAAAAAAATATAAAAACTGAACCGAACGGTTTGGTTACAATTCGAAAAATTTAAAAAAACCGGATTTCCAGTTTAGAAAAAAATAAAAAAAATGTTAACTGAAACTGGTTTTTTGAACTGGTTTTACAAATATATATGTTAAATAAAAATATACATTAAATAAAAAAATAATTTCATTTCAGACTTTTATTTGTATCTATTTTTAATGTATTGTTAATAGTAGTCAATGGATATATATGAATGTTTAATTTTTATTTGAATATATATTATTTATATTTACAATTTAATTTAGGAAAAAAAAATTAAAAATAAGTTTTATAAAAAAAAGAAGGCAAAACCGGTTTTCCCTCCAAATCAGTTTGGTTCGGAAATTTTTCCAAACTGAAAAACCAGTTCGGTTCAAAAAAAGAGATTAACCAGTTCGGTTAACTTCTTTTAAACACCCCTAATTGCAATACAATGATAACTTTTAACGGTAAAAAATAATGTTGAAAAATTTGAGAAATGATAACGAGAGTCTAACAGTAATCCGATTATTTAAAGTTCATTAGTATATGTTATAGTTGTTAGAGAAATGATAATTGGAGGGTGACTATAGTGTAATTGTGACACGTCTGTTATTGGTAAAAGTCCTCCTGTACCATCAATTTCTAATACAGTAGTTGAGAAATCAAAGTCAACATTTCTCTTTATTTTTTTTCTATATAATTCCTAATTTTCTTTTCCTAAAACCCCCTATTTCATAAAAAAAAAAAAAACCATTATTATAATTATTTTTAGTTATTAAAGACGATTATCCAATATATCCTTGAAGGCTATTTTTATAAACTGTTATAAAATAACAAATTTCAGTAACAAATAACAATATTTTGATAATAATAATAAGAATTTAATATTTCGTATTTTTTATGATAATAATAATAAGAATTTAATATTTCGTATTTTTTATTAGTTCCGGGTTTAGGCAAGCATATCATTCCTTCGGACGTTTTCAAATAAATCTGATTTTTAAATGTTATTTTATTATTGATTTATTTACTTTGACCTTGCAAAATCAAGTTATTAATTACTATTCCGGCTTAAGTCTTTGTTGGTATATCAATTTGTGATTACTGATTCAACATCAACGACTTCCACGATGCCACGTCAGTTCTAGTCCTAAACATTTGGAAAGAAACTACTAATATGAAAAATGGACTGTTATTATCACTTTATCAGAATGCAATGATTAAGGGCTTCAAGGCTTTTTTTTTTTTCTTCTATTTTATCTCATAAAAATAATTACCCATATTCTCAACTAAGAAAGCCATTTAAACGGCAATAAAGACGATATTAGTAAAAAAATATATATAATTGTTAAGAAAAACCTTGAAATTTTAAGGAAAAACATTTATATACAGGAAGGATTAAAGCTTGTAAAACATTTTTTCTGAATTATTAGGTAAAACGGCTTTAAATTTTTGAAAAATATTAGAGTTATTAAGTGACAAATTGCCAAAAATTTACCCAATTCTACTTTCTATTTTGGAAACATGTTTTTCACCAATAGTTTGGTTTGTTGTAGTTATGATAGAGACAAATTGCCAAATTTTCAAAAATTATAATTTTTTTTTCACCCCATTAAAATTGAAGAAAATGTTTTTAATTGAATATAAAACACAGTTGTATATTTACCATATATTTAATTTATACTCAATATTCGAGGAAATTGAATTATCCTTATTCTTTTTTCTTTTATTTATTAGAGAATATATGGTTGGTGTATCCTTAAGTTGACCACTTATCAACAAATTTCAATTTTATTAGGTTAATAATTCTAAATTCGGAAACCACACCACAAATATATACATACACAAAATTACGTAAGTCGATTCAATTTTGGAGTTATCAAGTGTCAAGTAAATAGACAACATCTTTTTGTATCAATTAATGAAGATTTTCTTATAAAATATAACATATTAAATTTAATAGACAAATAACATGGTTTGTTGTAATTTAATCCCCTCAAAAGAAAAAAAAAATTCTAAATATATCTCAATACTATATATTAATACATCCCCTACCCTATATCCATATTCTTATGCATTGAAATTTCTTACCAGATTTAATTTATTTATTTTTTTAAGAAAAAGACAGGCTAGCAGTAACAATATTGTTTTTTATTTAAAATAAGTTGACAAAATATTAAAATTATATAATTAGAGAAGTATTTGACTAAGGTTTTTCCTTCATATTAATTTCTTATTTGAACAAAAGGCCAATCATTAGAGCAACGTAGCTTGTAAATTAACCTAATCTACGATTTTATATCTTTTTGCAACTTTACATTTATAATGTTTTTGGGCTTCTTCATTCTTTCAATAAGGTTATTGATTAATCTACATATAAAATGTAAGATTTGTATTTTAATTGACAAATACATGGACCAAATTAGAAAGCAATTTAACCATATGATTAGGATAAGAAAATACCTTTCAATAAATTCAAATTGTCACATCATGACTTCTTTTATCTTACCAATTTATAATCAACCATATTAAATAGAAATAATTGGGTTTAATAAAATAATTTGAATTGTTAGTTGCATAAACATTATCAAACCTTAATTTTATTTACTTATTTTTACCTTAACTGTTGAGTAAAATTCACATATTATTTTATACGAGCCTGCATAGTTAATTTATGCATATCAATTGTATTGAGCTTATAATATAATGAATGTTATCGGATTAGATCAACAGGAGAATTAACTTCAATTTCATCATCAAATATGAAACCCATAATTTTATATGCTGTCACTTTTAAGTTAATTGAATATTTAAATCAATGGATATAAATGAATAATGAAACGTGGCAAACTATAATTGATAAAAAAAAAACAAAAACAAACACAATGAATTCAAATTGCTTACGTGTCAATACTGTGTCGAACGGCGCTTCTCTCTCCTTCACAGCCCTTTAGATCCGCGGTCTTTTCTTTCATAATAACAAAAAGCAAAAAAAGAAAAAAGAAATAAAATCATAAAAAATATAAATAAAATAAAAATCTCGCTATTTCTCTTTCTCTCACTGAATAATTTATAAATTCTTCTATAATTCTCTTCTTTGATATCTCTCTTTCTCTGTGTTTGGTTTGCTGAACCAAACGTTTTCGTTTTTTTTTTTTGTTTGTTTTCACTTCACATTTTCTTTGTGTTTTCTAAAAGCTAGGGTTTTCGTTTTCTTTAATTTTCTCGTCCACTTTGACGGGAAACAAACACACACATAACTCAGAAACAGCTCCAAACGGTACGTCACCATTTCACTTTTTTTGTTCATCTCTTAAATCAAAATTCAATCCAGTTTTTTCGCTAAATCTCTATCTACTTCTCTTAATTCGATCGAATTTACTGTGACCTTTACGTATTTTTAATTATTTATGGTTTCGCTATGGAAGTTGTTATCATGTGATTGTGATTGTTAAGTATTTTTTTGTGTATAAGAATATAATTAGGGCTTAGTTAATGTTGTAAAATTAGGGTTTGGTTTTTGTGCAGGTGTGTGTATTTATGATTTAGAGAGAGTTTGTTAAGTGATGTGTTTGTAGATATGATCATATTATGTGTTCTAAGGCTCTGAGGGTTGAAATGTGTGTTGTCTGGATTGATAAAGGGATTGATTAGGTGGAGGATTTTGAGTGTTATGTATGGGAGGTGGAGAGAGTAGGTGAAAAAAATGACTGATTTTCAACAATTACAACAAAAGCCCGAATCCGCGGATGATATTTGTGTGGAATTTGAACGTGGTTTGGAGGAATTGATGCGTGGGCACTTGGATGATTGTATGCCATTTGCGTCGTGTAGTTCCACACGTAACAATGATGATGAGGATGATGAAGGGGACCAGTTAGTTAGGAGAAGGAGAAGGTCTGACCTTGAGGGTGATGACTTGGCAGAGTCTTCAGCTGCCAGAAGGCGGCATTCACGGATTTTGAGCAGGTGGGCTGCAAGGCAGGCACAGGAGATGATAACTACGATGGAGAGGAGGAATCGTGAGTCTGAGTTGATGGCTCTTGCAGGTTTGCACACAGTTTCAATGCTTGACTCATCATTTTTGAGGGAGTCTCAGTCTCCTACTTCGAGGCGTCAGGGGAATGTGGAAAGGCCTAGTACTCAGGCGTCAGGGATTTTGCAAATGTGGAGGGAATTGGAAGATGAACATTTGTTGAATAGGGCACGTGAGAGGGTGAGGGAAAGGTTGAGACAGCAAAGGAGTGTTGAGTCTAATACAAATGTTTCAGGTACAAATATGTCAGAGGGTCGAGGGAGTGAAAATCAGGGTAGTTTGGGGGATGCAAGTGAAAGTGAGAATGAGTATGGGACGTGGTCGCATGATCAGATGGAGTCACAGAATGAACGTGGGGATAATGATGGGTCTAGTAGGGAGCAATCTCCCGATCTCGGCGAAGTCGAGAGGGAGAGGGTAAGGCAGATTGTTCGTGGATGGATGGAGACTGGCCTTAGTGAGCCTTCATCCAATGCTGCCCAAAGGAATGGTAGTCCAAGAGCTGAATGGCTCGGTGAAACTGAACGTGAAAGGGTTAGAATTGTTAGGGAGTGGGTTCAAATGACTAGTCAGCAGCGTGGGGCTCGTGGGGGGCGGAGGGAAGATCAGGCAGCCACAACTGGTGCTCCAGCTGAACAAGTTCAAGAAGGATTAGTTGCTGACCAGGATGAAGGGCAACCAGAGCATATTCGCAGGGACATGCTGCGGCTGCGTGGAAGGCAAGCTCTACTTGACTTACTTGTGAGGATTGAAAGGGAAAGGCAAAGGGAACTTCAGGGTTTGTTGGAACATCGAGCTGTATCTGATTTTGCTCATCGCAACCGCATTCAGGTTAGTTAGTTATTATGAAACAATTTGCTCATTTTGTGAGTATTATTAGTGTTATCATTTTTCAAGCTTAAATGCTAGTACCTACATATTGTTTTTACCACTTCGAGTTTGGGAATCGACACATTGCTTGAATTTTGAGTTTAACCTGATAATGTTTTTTCATATGTCATGTAGATTTTAAGTGTATGGTGCATAATATTGCTGTGTTCTAAACTACATATGTTGTAATGTACATGCTATTGATAGATGAGCATACCATGCAACTGTATGTGTCGGTGGTGAAATAATTTCTTGTGTTGCCCCATACAAGCTTCATCATATATCATCAGGATATTTTCATATGAAAAAAAGTATATCATCAGGGTATTCTGCTTTTATGTATGCCTGTGTCTTAACAACTAATACGTATAACATTTTTTCAGTCATTACTGAGAGGTAGATTCTTGCGTAACAATGAAAGACCTGTTGAGGAGGAGAGGGCACCGTCAATTGCTGCTAGTGAGCTAGTTCAATTAAGACAAAGACACACTGTATCTGGTTTAAGGTATGTTCCTTCTTAAAAGCGAGCCATGAGAATATTCTAAATTGTTTGCAAGCTTTTCAGCATTATGTTTTCTGGAATGACATAGTATGTGCTTTTTCTGTCCCCAAAATAGGCGCATTTTTTTTAAGGTGATTCTGGTGATAGATTTTATTTATTTTTTGTTCTTCTTTAATATATTGATAATTCAAGCCAGGTATTATATGGATTGAGAACATTGTATATTAGAAGAGCATAGTGTCAGATTTTCCCTGTTTGGCGAGTGTAATTTATGATTTATGGGTGTGGCTAGAAAAATCTTGAATATCACAGAATTTCCATAAAAGTAGGATTGGTACATGGAAGGATTGTCCGTATTCAAAGGTTGGAATGCAAACTGTTTTTGCTAGTTTTCTCCAACTTAATTGCTTAGATACGATTGCTATTCATGGAAGAATGATTATAAACTTTAGTGAGCTTAGCTATTCATTTCTTGATTCATGGTTGGGTTACATCAACGATATATATAGATACTGCCAATGAGCCAATGGCGGTTTTATGATTTTGCATCATTTATTGTGCGGCTTATATTCCTAGCCTGGAGTGTGTAGGAGCTATTGTTTTATGCCACCAGTTAACTTAATATATTGAATAGCTGTATTATGCATTTTTATTATTAATAACATTAATATCATTTCTAATACTTGGTATTGATTTATACACTAATATGTTAAATTCCTTTTCTCATGTAGGGAAGGTTTTCGCTCCAGATTAGAAAATATTGTCCGTGGTCAAGCAAGCAGCAATTCTGATGTCACATCGAGCAATAATAGCAATGAATCTAGTAACGAACGGACTCAAACAAATCTTTCACTGGATGCTCAGCATGAAACCAACGAGCAGTTACAGTCGATAAGTCAGGAGACTGACATTAATCAATTGCCTGATCAAACTGGAAACTTGGAAAGCAACACAAGTGTTGGGGTGACCACTTGGCCAGAAACTTCTAATCAGGAAAATGATAGAGGGAACTGGCAACAGTCAGGTTATAGTCAGTTTGATGAATCGAGAAACAGTAATCAAGCTGAGATGGATACAAACTGGCAACGAAGTCCAGTAACTGGTTGGCCCCAGGAAATTCCTAGAAATGTGGATGGAGAAGAAGGTCATCCACATGGGGCTCAGGGGGTTTGGCATGAGGATGGGGCTAGAGAAGCTGTTGGAAGTTGGTCAGAGGGGCCTTCTGATCCCCCAAGAACTCGTCGGGCTGTTCCTGTTAGAAGATTGAGCAGATTTCATCCTCCTGAGGATGATAATGTGTATAGCATGGAGCTCAGAGAACTTATAAGCAGGTTATTTTATATTTATACTAGGCCTATTGATTCTTGGCTTTATTTGTTAAGCCACTGCTAACTCTCTTTTGAGATTTATATATCAAATGTTATTTTTTTGTTATAGGAGAAGTGTTTCCAATCTTCTTCGTAGTGGTTTCCGTGAAAGTTTAGACCAATTAATACAGTCCTATGTGGAAAGACAAGGTCATACGCCTATTGACTGGGATTTGCACAGAAACTTGCCAACGCCAACTCCTACTTCGCCAGAGCAGAATCAAGAGCAGCAGAGGGATGACCAGAATGAGGATCAGCCTGATGCCATTGATAGACCTTCATTGGTGCTACCATCTCCACCAGTTCCCCCACCCCAGCCACTGTGGCACCAGGATTTACATCACACTACTTGGTCTCGTCACAGCATGCACCGATCAGAAATTGTGAGTTTGTTTCTTCTACAGATCTAGAAACTTCTGCACACTGTTGTTGTTAATATCTTCTTCTTTCCCCCTGTATGAAGTATTTGAAGCTACAAAACTTTCTCCATATCTTATGTCATTGAAGAAAATTGGAACCATAATATAGGATAAAAATAGCTCTTTTATGAGCTTTTTCTTAGGACCACTGCTTGGAGTATATTCAGTTATCCTCATGTTGCTATAGGCAGAAGGCAGTTAGTTTCTTTTGGAATTTTAATGGCGCATGTTGAGCTGATGATGTAAATGAATGGGAAGTGGGCTGAGACATTCTAGTTTGTTTTGATGTCCCTCAGTGGCTATTTTTGTTTCTAATTGTCCTAAAATTGTCAGTGCATGCACCCAAATCCTGTATCTTGTATACTTTTTGCATTCTTACCTTTGAACTGAATTGGGGAAGTTGGAATTGACTTGGTTAGGAGTGGGAGATGTTTAACGATTTGAGAGCAGACATGGCAAGACTTCAGCAAGGTATGAGCCACATGCAGAGGATGTTGGAGGCCTGCATGGATATGCAGCTGGAGTTGCAGAGGTCTGTCAGACAGGAAGTGTCTGCTGCTCTTAATCGATCAGCTGGTGAAAAAGGTTTGTGTATTTTTCTCATTGTTCATCTGTCTTCCGGAACATTTTTCTAAATGGAAGATTCCTTACACATGCATTTTCATTATATTGAGCAATATCAGCGTTCTGATTATTGTGAAATTTTTTACCCTACTTTTTCAGGGATGGTTGCAGAGACATCAGAAGATGGATCTAAATGGGGTCATGTGAGAAAAGGGACTTGCTGTGTTTGTTGTGATAGCCATATTGACTCTCTATTGTACAGGTATATCTTCCATTTATTTTCCTCCGATGCTCTCTCTGAAAGACAAACTAAAAAGTTGGAGGGAATTGTTATATAGTTATTTTGGTTCTTATCTTATCCATTTTTTAATTTTGTGCTGTGGATAAAAATAATGTGAAAGTGTATGCAGATGTGGGCATATGTGCACTTGCTCAAAATGTGCGAACGAGTTGGTTCGAGGTGGAGGGAAGTGCCCATTGTGTAGAGCACCAATTGTTGAGGTAATTCGAGCATACTCAATACTGTAAAGACAGGTGAAAGAAATAAAAAGGAAAAGGGAATAATAAAAATCAAATAGAATTGAGTGGTAAGGTGAGAGAGAGAGAGCCCATGTCAGTTGATGTACATGAATGAGGAGTTGTCGGGGGGCCTGTCTTGTTTGTAGAGTGTTGTTCATTGTTCAAGTTGTTTCCTCCGTTTTTTCTGATTATATGTGGAACATTAAGCACTTTGTATGATTGGATTAACAAATGACATCACTAATTCTTCATTCATGTCGTAAATAATAAAGTTAAATAGATTCTTTACATTTTGTTCGCCTCTGGATACAGAATGATACAAAACTTGTGAAAAAATTAGGTCATCTCAAATTGACTATCCATGGAGTTTTAGTGTTGAGCGTTTGCAAATTACGCAAAAGATAACGTTAATTGTTAGGTGAAGCTCTTATCCGACTTTATGATCTTTAAGACAAAGTCATTTCTATACAATACAACTTGTGGAAGTGATAAAGTTGTGATGTATCTGCCAGTTATCATTAACCTCTTGCAACGGAAATAAATATTAATAGGGAATGTGAATTAAGGTTACTTTTATCTTGATTTAAGTGTATTTATCCTTATTTAAAAAAGATAATTAATGAGGTATTAATGGGACTAATATCTATTGGATTGTTATAAATTGTCAATTAATTCAATGGTGGTTTCTGATAGCATTTAACATATTATCAATTTCTTCGGGTTAAGAATGGGTAATTTTATAGGGTTGTTGCTGTTGATACGAAAATACAAGTTGAGAAATCAATGAATATAGTAGGAATAGGATGATGATTTTCGATGCCTTTTTTAAGATATAATTAAGGTGAGAATTTACATTGGTTAAAATGCACATCCAGGAAAAAAACGTGTTTATCTATTTTGTAAATCGCATACAAATTTGCCTACAATGAAGGGAAACTTCAAATATAGTTTGTAATTTAACCAAATATAGTTAATGCAATTTAAACCAACCTACCCAACTAAAATCTAAATTCGCACGACTATTATGAGTTAATGAAGCTTGCCGCCTCCACTATCACCAACTATTTTAGTGGACATCACATCAATATCCATTTCTCAATCTCATATATTGGTAAACACACAACATTCTGGATCTTTATTTGTTGCTATTTTTTTCAAACCATTCGCAAAAGTAGTTGGGATTTTCGTGCATAGGTTTCTCCCGAAAATTAATTTTAAAAATTTTTATTTTTAAAAGCATACTCTAGGAAATATCTCTAAAGTTTTAAAATTTTCAGATCTAACAAAAAACATAAATATAGAATGGCTATAAAATTAAAATCTCGTCAATGTTTTCGACCACGTCAAGAAGATGATATTTTTGACTTATGGGAATTACTTTTTTTAGTGAATATTATTAAAATCCAATAATTTCAAATCATTGTGTTTTGTTTTGGGTTATTTAGTCAAATAACCAAATCCATTGATCTTCCAATTCCAAAAAAACCACCTGATCAAATTACAATTACGGTGAAACTGAAACAGGTCAGCAACAACGAATAACGATGGGTTCAGTTTTTCATCTCTTTCTCTCTAATTTTTGTTAGCTAATACAATGGTTTTTCACCCATTATACAATACAATGTCTTGGTGAAGAATTAAGATTTATATTCCTTTTCCATTTCGCCCAAAAATTAATTTAAAAAAAAAAAAAAAAAAAAGATAAAGAAAGAAAGATTAAATAAATACTAAACAAAGCTGACATTATTGTAAATCTTTTTTTTTTTTTTCCCCTTTTTGGTACAAAATTTTTAATTCTTCCGCTAACCGGATTTATTGCTGTAAGAGTCCTCCTACCATAATCATGCCTCCTCTCAACAATTTACATGTTACTCTTTTTTTTTTTTTGGATACTAACAACGGGCTATATAAACTATAGAGGACAAAAAATTAGTGAGTAAAAAGAATAAGATAGAGCTGAAAAAAAAATCACCTAGAATTTATTTAATTCATCAAAACCATTTTCTTCGACCATTGCCAGCTTTGAGCTTCATCACAAGCTGCTCTCGTTCAGCTTCGACTTCAGCATACTTAAGGCTCATTTGAAAGTAGCGTTCACGAAGATCTTTCAGCTCTGCCTCGAGTGATGCTGCCTTTAGATCGTGTCCATTTTTCTTCACAGCTCCATCTTCACTCAGTTCATTGGATAAAAATCTGAACACAAGCAGAGCATTTTGCACCAGCTGTTAGCATTGCTCTATCAATTTATAGTACGGACATTGGATTTACAAAGAACAAGAAAATAAAATTTTAAAATCTGAAAAGTATCACTTGTACTGACCTCTTAAGCTGTTGTTTATACATGTCGTTTGCCTCCAAAGCCTCGGCTAGTTCATTCTCAAGAGACTGAATCTTCGACAAAGTATCATAATTTTGGTCGTTATCAACCTGAAACGAAAGGAAGAGAAGGTGAAGCTATTGAAAGATAAAATGAGCTGTCGCTGTTACAAAGACATAATTGGCCCATCTAATAGAACTGGTTGAATTTATGTATTACAGTGACATGAACCTGTCTTTGGTTTTGTTGTAGTTGACCAGCTCCCGCAGATGGCTTCTCATTGGTCTGCAGATTGCCATTGTCTTGCTCCTGCCATTTCAGAAGCTGAATTTATAAATCTATATTCAAGTTTTAATATAACTTCAATGAAATCAAGTAATAAGAGACAGGAAAATTGTTGATACAAACCTTCAATTTGTCATGGAGAGAAGTACCGGTAGCAGTTGAATCAGGATGAGAAAGATTTGCAACAGACTCAAGATTATCCTGTTTTATTTCTTTCGTCTGCTTCAATTCCCGTTCAAGAGCTTGAGCCATTTTCATACATTCTTCCTTCTCCTTCTCAAGATTTTTTATCTTTCTCTGGAATTGGCTGTTTTCCCTCCTTATCTGCGCGAGCTCATTTTTAATCACTGCTTCCTGGGAACCTACTGCTTCTCTTGCTGTTAAATCCCCCTCCAGCCGAAGAACCTTTTCCTCGAGGGCAACTTTTTTACGCTTGTAGTCCTCTAGTTCAGAAATCGCCTTCTGACTACTAGAGATTTTCTCCATACATAGGCTTCTCTCAGCCCGAAGTTCTTCGTAATCTCCTGATAATATCTGGAAAGAAGCTTCCAGTCTTTCATTTTCAAATTTGGCCTCATTGAGTGATTTCTTAAGGCTCAGAACTTCATCCCGCAGCAGTGCTGTTTTCTCCAATTGAACCTTAAGGCTGGAAACTTCTTCTGCTACCTGTAACCTCTCATATTCAGAAGCTTTGAGTTTTAACTCAAGCCCTCTAATGGTGCTTCTGTGTTTCTCTTCATTGGATTTAACATCCTCCAACAAATCCAATAGTTTTTCATGGTCAGCCGTCAGAACTTCCTGGTTTTGCTTTGAAGCAGCAAGTTCACCCATAAGCTGTTGCACCTTCGCCTGAGATTCCACCTGGAGGGTATCAAGGTTGCTCTCCAATAATTTTAGTTTCTCTTTGACTTCTTGAAGAGCAGCTTCAAGTAGAGCTTTATCTGCACGTAGATGGGACACTTCAAGTACAGCTTCGGAAGCTGTTCTATCCTTTTCATCTTGAGTCGCAGATATCTGTTCAGTAAGGAGTGCAACCTCCCTTTGAAGGCTCTGAACTTCAACCGTCTTCTCGAAGTACATCTGATTAAACAGACTCTCTTCAGTAACAACTTTATCTTTATGCTTTTTGTTTTCATGAAGCAATGCATCTAGTTCTAGGTTAATGGCTTTCTCCTTTGAAGCAATTTCTTCCAGCATTGAAGAATATTTTTCTTCAAGTGCTTCAAGTTTCTTTGACATATCAGCAAAAACATTTTCTGATTCTCCCAGTTCAGCTTCCAAGACTGCACAGTGTTCATGCAACTTCATTTTCTGCTTTCTTAGCTCTGCATTTGATTTCTGCAGTAAACTACATTCTTCAATGAGACTTTCAGCTGTAGCTTGTAGCTTTGGATTTGCTACTTTCAGATATTCACATTCTTCTTGAACTCCAATCCATCTTTTTTGCGAGTCCTGTAACTTCTGTTTCATTTCAGCTTTCAGAGCCTCCATTTCAGCTTCCAATCTTCTTATCTCATCCTGGAGATCCTGAGCAAGAGATTTTGAATTCTCCAATTCCAAGCGACTTGACTCTCTGTCATTAGTCAAATATCTTAGCTGTGCTTCTAAGCCACATATCCGTTCAGACAACTGTACATTCTCTTCTTCTACTTCATGCAAGTGAACTTCCAGGTCATGTTTGCCGCCCTCTAGCTCAGAAGACTTGCTTTCAAGAATCTTGTTGGCTGAAACCTGAGAATACATGTTGCTATTCAGCACCATCATTTCATTACGCAAATCATCCAAGTGTTTAGAGTTGGTAGTTCCTTCTCTAAGCATCGTCTCCATACTTTCCTCCAACAGGGCTTTTTCTTTTTGAAGATCAGAAAGCTGAGTTTCCAGCTCTCTACAGTAATGTCTTAGAGCATTGATCTCTTCTTCTTTCAGCAAATTCTCAGATTTGAGCTCATCTATCTGAGACAACAGTTCCTTAGCAGGATCTGTAGTTTCAGATTCATATTCTGCATCCTGAATCTCTACTTCCCGAGTGTACGTGTTTTGAGTATTTTCACATGCATGAGGACCCTGCAAATTAATCACTCCTTCTGAGTTTTCCCCTGTTGCTCCGACTTCTTTGTTAGATTGAAGTTCATCCTCATCAACAGTAATTTTTGCTTCAAAAAACGTTTTCAGCTGGATAAAATCTTTCAAGATAGCCTCAACTTGCTCCTTTTGAGTATGTAAATCTGTACTCGTTGAAATTTCTGACTTGTCAAAGCCATAACTACACGCAGTACTTGCATGAGGAATAAGACCAGATTGTTGCTTCTTTAGCTGGTCTAAAGAGAGTTGAACCTGTTCATATAACTCAGAGAGCAATTTCGAAATTTCGATGGAAGTATCTGATTCATAAATCTTACACTTTGAACAGACAACTGCAGGATGATCTTGAATCTCAGTTTCCTTTTTCTGGTAAAGTTCTAGCTGTTGTTGCAGAGCAGCAATTTCAATTTCCTGCTTTTCTGCTCTGGAGCGACAACTACAGAGTTCACCATCAAGAAAACAAACTTTGTCCTTGAAAGCTTGCAACTGGTGCTCAAGGTCATCTTCATGCTTGCATATTTGAGACTTCAGTTTTCTTCCTGCAGATTTAGATGTAAAGGCAAAATTGTTCCCCGCACACTCATTTGATAAAGATTTAGAAGAGGCATCTGACGTCACAAGATCCTTTTTTGATTCTTTGAGCTTGAACAGAAGTTCCAGGTTTTCCTCCGTGAGTTCATTGCAATCCCTCTCAAGTTCCTGAATCTTCTGTTTTAGAACATCAACTTCTACAACTAGATTGTGACTATCTTTATTTTCAGAAACCATTACCTTCAATTCTTGAGCATTTCGAGCCTCAGATAACTCAGCTTCCAAATTGATGATTTTTTTCTCTTTTTCAGTTATTATAGCCCTCCACTTTGCCTCACAGTCCATTAGAGTTTGAGTCTTTGAACCTCGTTCCAGCTCTACCTCATGGTTTTTTTCCTCCAGAGATCTTTCCAGAAACTGAATGGTACTCTCCAATTTCTTTTTAACATCCAGTAACTGCTGTAGCTCAAGTTCTAGCTTCCTCTTATCCTCTTGTCCAACCTCAGCATTCAAATCTCTTGTCGGGTGTTCGATAATAGTTCCTTCCATATCTGAATCACAGGAGATTTCTCTCATCTTCTTTACTAAAATCTGCTCAGTTGTATTCATTTGCTTATTGTCTTCAAACCCTTGGCCATTCATTCTTACCTCAACTTCTGGTTTTGTTTTAGAGAGACTGTCAATTTCCATTTTCTGTTTCTCTACAGTCTCTTCAAGTTCCTGAAGAATGGAAAGAAGTTCAATGTTTGATTCTTGCGTCTTCTTTAGCTGCAGCATCAAATTTGTGTTTGATTCTTTTTGAAACTTTATCTCATCTTCCAGTTCCTTCAGAATTTTTTCCATATCTTCGGCCTGAAACTTCAAGTTCTCAGTAGCAGTTGGTTGCACCTGTGATTCTTCAACCAAGATCTTCAGCTGCTCAATTTCCTTATTCAAGCTATCACATTTAGCATGTGATTCTGAGAGCGCAGTTTCAAGGCTTGCTTGACGTGTTGATTGCTCCAATGATTCCTTCTGTAGTTTCTCGAAATCAATCATTAGCTTTCGAGCATTTTGTTCCCACATCCTAGCTTCAGCACGGAGCTCCTCAATTGTAACTTCTGCAGCTTCCAGAAGGTCTTTAGATGAACCAGCACTCCGTAAAGTTGATGAGGCAACAGCACGTGGAACTCGATTGAATTCTTCTCTTTGAGTTTGAAGATGGCTTCCGGAATTTACAGCTTTTGAATTAAAGGACGACTGGTTTGACCGAAATGGATCATGAAAAGAATAAGAGCTATAAGGAGAACTATTTTGAGAGCCAACTGAATCTTGTCTTCCAACCAGATTGTTCACTACTCCACTTGAGTAACTTAGAGGGGAAAAATTTTCCCTGCCAGAGGAGCCCTCTACAGAGTCAAAGCTATTACGAGAAGCTGACGGTGAGAAGCTCATGTTCTGCAGTGACAGAAAAAAAAAAAATCATTAACCACATGAGAGCAAAAGCAAAAGCAAAGGCCGTGATAATATTTCTAGTGGCGATCAAAGTACATGAGATATGTATCAAATTAGCAAAGAGGTCTTTGGCCAATTTTTCACTTGAGTATTCCAGTGTTTCAGGAAAGCATATAGTAGGTAATATAGATAATTGCAAAACATGTTTTAATCAATGTTATATCCACAAATATATTGATGTGTAAGATTGGAAACATATTATGGAGCACAAACTACAATCATTAGGAAACTTTATAAAACACTAAAAATAATAGTCACTAGAACTAAGTCAACAAAATCACAGCTTGATCCCACTAAATGATTTATATGCAACCAAAATCATTTCCGTTAACAACCAAAACCACAGAGTTGTCTTACATCATATTGTCGAGTCCATGCTTCAGATGGATAGAATGGTATACTTCATGATAACCAGCAACCATGGGTTTGAGTCCATCTATATACAAAAAGGGTGATAAAGAAAGACAGGTCTTCAGACCCATGATATGGGAACTACAATGAGTAACTACTGAGATCACAGATTAAAATCTCTATAGTAAAATGCCTCATATATCAGATGACTCTACACCACAGTGCCAGCTTAATATGAATATATGTATTAATTCTTGAGTTACAAACTTGAAATACAAACAAGCTCAACATCATAGAAGAGATGGCACATCAAATCCATTTTCATTGTCTAGAGCGAGAAAATTTTTGGAATTACAGATATGAACATGGCAGAAGGTGTAATGGTAAACTAACTGTTTAAATATCAAACTAGAGCTTTATGAGAGGAAGGTGCCATACCCGACTACATGGTTCTCCTGCTTGAGATGCAACATCCAAATGGTTGCTAGATGAAGATCCAATACTCCTTGTGAATGTACCATCAGAAACATCTGATTTGTTTTCCAACTCGTCATAGTCAACATTCACGTCCTCCATATCTGAATTTGTGTCTTTCCACTGTTCATCCCTTTAAAAGGTGCAGTAACTCTTTCACAACCACTGAACAGAAAGTTTAAAAAGTATGAAGTTTCTCATTTAACTGCAAACCTGAGTTTTGCTCTGGGTGTTAGGCACTGAACTTTAAGCTGTAAACAAGAAGAAAAATTTCATCAGATAAGAGTTTACAGTCAATAATTTAATGTACCCAATTGAAAATACTCATTGACAGGTAGCTAATATATCAGAATACCTTCCACATAACAAAAAGAGCGTGTAAACAGGACCACAGTTAAAATTATACAGATTCAACTGATTTCTAATTCCAAAGAAACTGAAGATGCTTAAGATGACTCACTTGTAAGCTCGTCCCACTATTACATTTTTTCAATGGTAATGAAATAGGAATAAGACTTTTTGAACTCATGTAGCTTGCTAAATTGACAAAAGCCTCGCCAAGGATGCCGGATCTCGATGACCCCTACAACAATTGTCATTTCAGGTTGACTGTATTAGTTAATTGACACTAAATCAAATAAATAAAGCTTCACAATAACTACCATAAACATCACACCATGGAAACAACAAACTTAATGACGCATTTTTCAACAGCTTTAGATGCATCATCCGGTTGACTCCAAATAGACTCTGAAAAAGTCTCAATCCATTGGCAATTTCCATTTCGTGCCGTTGCTTTCCCTGACTTAGCTATGGTTTTGCCTGTCTCTACAGAGATAATAGATACAACAAGCTTGTCCCATCCTTTGGGAACCTGCAGTTGCCAAATTACACAATATAAAAATTGCAAAAGAATTGCTTAACAAATAATAGAAGGAACATAACCTCTTAAACTAAATAAAGTTTCATCCAGTGAACTTTTTCCACTTAACCACCATGCTAGTTTCTTGCAATGCCAAATAAGACCTCATAAACCACAATCAAAACATAAGATTAAAACTACCACAAGGCTGAATTTAGCAGGCTAGAAATTCAACCATAAAAATGGAGGCAATGCCCTTTAGACAAATTATAATAGGACATTTTAAATGTACCAGATTCCAATTTCAAAACTTATAATTCAAACCTATTAGGAATACAATAAGCACAATTTTCGCAGAACACACATATATATGGGCAGATGTTTTTACTAGCAAGTATATTTTAATTTGTTTCAGTTACACCCTTACCCCCAATTCGTCCAACCTTAATGTGAGCAGATATTCATTTCCTTTTCTAATGAACTAATTCATCAAACAGACACATTATTGTTATTAAAGGCATGCTGACTTCAATTAACTCATTTTTTTTTTTTTTTTTTTTAAATTAATGATATGGCTAAACTTATTTCTTACATCCAAACTAATACATATATTATTGTTATTATTAAAAATAACAAACAATGTATTAAGTCGACCTTTAGTCAACGAACCATTAAGTTGGTAATCAGAAAACAATTTTCAATAGCAAAGAAAAAATCTATAAATTCAAGCTGTATTCTGAGTGCTCTTAACATATACATATAATTTCTGAAAACATTTTACACATTTAAATTCATATAAAATAAATAGAATCCAAAATTTTGAGCCGTATCTTCAAAATTTTCAGTATTCGGAAACAGTTTCCCCACACACACACACATATATATATAAAACACAATCCAAAATCCTAAACAAAACTGTTCTTAAAAAAAATTCAACTGCACCATTTCTTGCGCCATTACAACTTCGTACAATAAATATATATTTATTAAAAAAAAAAAAAGATAATACAGAATACGAAATTTTGAGCCGTATCTTCAGAATTTTAAATATTCGAAAACAGTTTCCAGATTATAAAAATAAATAAAAAAATAAAAAAATCCAAAATCTGAGTTGAAGACGCGCACGCTATAAAATCTGAATGACTTTTCTTCGTGCTCAGATTTCAAACTGCACACTAATTTTCAAATAATAAATAAAACAGTTCTTAAAAATAATACATTCAACGGCAACATTTCCAGCGCCATTACAACTTCAAACAACAAAAATATATATTTAAAAAAAATAGATGAATGAGTAAATTGACGAGAAGTGAAAGTGAACCTGAACAGCCTGAAAGTTAGAGAACTTGAAATCGCATTTCTCTCCGAATTTATCCGATTTGTGTTTGTGTAATCTGAACATTGTTTTCGTTTTTGTTTTCTTTGATTTCGTTTTCAGTTTCAGTTGTTTCTTCTGGATTTCATAGAGATGAATATGATGAAAACGGAGCAGTTTCACATGGTGTGAGACAGAGAGAGAAAAGAGGAAGACTGTGTTTACTTAACAATGGAGAGAATGCGTTAGCTGTTATTTCATTTGTTCCTTGCCGAGATGTTGTTAACGTTTCCCATTGGATATTGTTAATTCTTTCAATTTTTTATTTGTTTTTGCAAATTTATCCTTGTTATATAGTTTATTTCATAATTCTCCCATTTTTTATCTTTTTATGAAATTTTCCACAATTTTAACGTGTTTTTCATATTAACCCAAAAATGAACTCACCTTAATGAAAATTTTCAGATAGCTCATCCAGAAGTTTTTAACGTGCTGACCAAATGTCAGCGATCACTGGTTAGCTTTGATTTTTCCCTTTAATAATGATATCCTTAAAACCTTCTCTCACAACCCCCGGCATAATAACCCTATAATCTTCTCTCACAACCCCCGGCATAAATAACTCATTATTGGTTAGTATGCAAATGGGCAGAGACTCGTACAATTTTATGAGCTGTCATATCGGAGGTTCTGAGATTAGGTTGTAGACCTAACATTACTCTTTGCCTTTTATAAAACAAATGTTGATAGCTTTAGTTTTTGTTTCACATATTTAAAACTTTTTTTTTTTTTTTTTGGTGACTAGAGGTATCCAGGCCAACTTGTACGCACCTTAACTAATCCCCTGGAACCTTGGAATTGATAAGCAGGCAAATCTCTTTAATAGTCACTTCTATTAACAACCAAAATGGTTCAAACTCAGGACCCCGGGCCACCCAGTGGTGGTTCACATTTAAAACTTCAAGAAGTGTGTGCAAGAGAATGCCAACTTACCTTAATACCTCATATGGTGTTGTTGATGTTTTTGAAGATATTAATATTATATTTTTTTAAATCTTAGACAAGAATAATAATTTTGAATAATATGATAATGAGAAATTTGGGAAATCAATAGGGACGTATACCATTATTTACTATAAATTTATGCATATAAAATAATAAATATGACTTAAAAAGGTGATTACATATTTGCGAAATTTACTTCGGTTCTAAGGGAGGTAGGATTTTTATTACCTTTATATGAAGCGTATATTATATTCCATATATTATACTATAAAGTTAGTGATATTTGGTATCACATTCATTTTACCTTAAATATTAAAAATTGTCAAAAAAAAAAAAATGTGGGTTTGATTGGGACTTCATTAAAACAAGATTTTCAAATACAATCTTAAACACAATCAATTCTAAAAGGAAATATAAATCATTTTAACTGATTGATTAGAAATCATCAATATTCATTACAGAACTTCAAAAGGAAGACTATTATTACATATTAGTATTAAATTCATTCTTTTTAGTTTAATTAATAAAAAATTGTACTTCCTTTTTGCTTCTTTTTTTTTTTAATAAATATTATATTAACTAGAAGACCATGAAGTTGATATTTCATCAATGGCCCACTTTGGGCCCAATATTGCTTCATACAGGCGAATAAATTTTGACATAAGAGTGGCACTGCTGCATTATTAAAGTTGTTGGGTTTGTTTTGTCACCCATGTGTTTGGCAAGAAAGCGGTTACCTCGTCTAAATTTTGGGAAATTAACATCGTAACCCTTAACTAGCGTTTTTGTTGGTTAAATGTAATGGTTCAAGGAGTCAAAGAATTATTTTGAATATATCATTAACACATTTGACTAAACGATGAAAAGTTTTGGCCAAATTTTAGAACATCGATTGAAAGTTCTAGTTATAGGATTAATCGATTTAGTACTACTGTAATTCTTGAATATATAAATGGTCAACTGTGTGACTGAAACTGCCAACTAGTTATTCAGTATTTCTATTCTACCTCTTGTACCGTTATATTTAATTAGTAGATTCTCTATTGGGGGTGGAGTAATGTTATATTTACACCACTCTTTTACACCATTTTCATTACATCATGATGTGACATATACGACAACCACATAAATTTTATTATAATATTAAAAATTCAAAATAATTAAAAATTTGTATGGTTATGATATATGCCACATCATGATGTAATGAATATGGTGTAAGAGAGTGGTGTAAATGTAGCATTATTCTTGGGGTGTCTACGATAGTTTCACCAAAACTTGAGGGAAATTTTTTTTGCACCAAACCTAGGTGTGACAACACATTGATTTTATGTTTTGCTGGTGAATCACTTCAGCAAAGATTTCTGTTGTGCTGATAAGGAATCAAACAACCCACATGGGTTTTCTCCAATTTTAGTTGAGTAGGTAAATAAAAGGATAATTTTGTTTTTTTTTTTTTTTT